TAAAAAAGGTCAACTCGTGTTCTTTTTTTTGATATTGAAGATGTTTTGTATCTGAGAGGGTTTTTTAAAATTCATCTGAAAGTTGTAAGATAGCAAAGGTTAAACTACACAGGAAAAAAAAGAACAAACACAATAATATTATCATGTCTTATCAACAGGGTCCAACGACATTCAGTCAGGTCATCTGGACAGTTTATTTTTTTGTGCTGAAATGTTTCACCTTCGATCCAGAAGGCTTCATCAGTCAAGGAAACACACAACAAAACTGATTCTTCCCCCAACAGCTTACTCCAAAGTGGAACAAACCAGTTATGTTGGTGCTATGTTGACTGTTTTTCTTATACATTTTATTGTTGGATGTAACTGGGACCCTGTGTACATAATTTCGCTCCACCACATGTACCACATGAGGTGCGAATGACAATAAAGAAACTCTGACTCTGACTCTGACTCTAAGATGGTCTCTTTTGCACGCCCCCTCCTCCAATGCCGGCCCTGTTCCTCATCGACACTCATGTCGTGCGTTTCCTTGACTGATGAAGCCTTCTGGATGGAAGGTGAAACGTTTCAGCACCAAAAAAAAAAAATTTGTTCAGATGACCTGACTGAAAATTGTTGGATTGTATACCTGGATTATTGAGCATGGACTTTGTTGTTTATCACCAGGGTATTCAAAAAACTCAAAGGTTTTCTCCAAACACGATACATTTGTGCATTTCAAACCAAACAGGACCAGATTCTGGATTATTATCATGATGTCATCAACGGAGACATCATTCAAAGTTCTAACAACTCCTTTCAGGCTGACAAAGACCCAACCCAACACATTCCAGTTTGAACTGAGAAAGTTTCTAGAATTAAAAGTGAAATGTCTTGAACAAAAAAAAACAAAAAAAGTCGATCCATCTGGATTATTGAGCATGCATCTGATAAGTCCATCCATCCATTCTCTTTACTCGCTTCTTCCTTTTCATGTCACAGGAGTCCCTGGTGTTCATATCCAGCAGTCACTGTGTGAGAGGCGGGGGACACCCTGGACAGGTCTCCAGTCCATTACAGGGACACATAAAGACAAATGAAACAAACAACCATTCTCTCTCACACAGGGACAATTTAAAGTCACCAGTCAGTATAACATGCATGTTCTTGGTCTGTGGGAGGAAACTGGAGTACCTGGAGAAAACCCACACATGCACGGAGCGATCATGCAAACTCCACCCAGAAAGGTCCCTGGTCGGGATTTGAACTGGGGTGACCTGCTCATGAAGAAATAATAAGGTGACAGATTCTTCTGGTCAGTGCAGCAGTCAGAGCTATTTAAGACATCTGGCAGAGCACAGCCTCAAACGTCAAAACCAAATTAAAGCTGCAAGCAGCATTGGAGGCCCTAGCAGCAAAGCGCCGCTCCGGCCTTACGGAGACCGCGGGAGCTCCAGCTAGTCCACCCAGTTGCCATCACAAATGCTCTCATGCCAATCCCACACGCGTTCACCACGGGGCGCATTTCCCAAATCTTCAACATCGCCTTCTGTCCATGTCGTTACTTGTCCAGCTGCAGGTCTTACAAGTATAGGCGAAATCTGACCTTCCAGACGGGAGTTATGGTGACTTCCTGTTTTGTGGCGAATGTTTGACAAGCACTTCCTTTATGCTTTTCAAAATGTCATGTGTGGTAATCAACAGTTAGCGAACAAAGTTTCAATCTAATATCTTACACAGTGCGAAGCTGGAAGAGTCACCCAATAATCAACAGTTTTTTCTCCGAGTAGGTGGGGCTTAAGTGATGTCATTACTCAACAATACCAATGTGTCTACAAGTGCTCACTGATGAAGCACAAAACCTCAGGTTCAGATTGTATGATGTATCACTGAGATATAACTGTTAGAATAATGTAGGGGGCGCACTGGAGTCCAATGTTAAAGAACAATATCAATGTGTCTATAAGTGCTCACTGATCACGCTCATAAAATCTGGTACATATTGGACGATATTTCACTGAGATGTAACTTTTTGAATAATCTAGGGGGTGCACTGGAGTCAAACATTAACCAACAATACCAGTGTGTCTAGAAATGCTCACAGATTACGCACCAAATATCTGTTGCGGATAGGATGATGTATCACTGAGATATAACTGTTGGAATAATCTAGGGGGCTCACTAGAGACATATGTTAAACCACAATATCAATGTGTATAAAAGTCCTCGGTGATGATGCACAATAAATAAATCTAGTGCAGATTGGATGACGTATCACTGAGCTATAACTAGGACTAATGTAGGTGGTGCTGTGGAGGCTATTGGCCACTTATCATAGATACCTGTTCAAGGGGCGGATAATGATCCATCCATCCATTCTCTTTACTCGCTTCTTCCTTTTCATGTCACAGGAGTCACTGGTGTTCATATCCAACAGTCACTGTGCGAGGGGCGGGGTACACCCTGGACGGGTCACAAGTCCATCACAGGGACACAGAGACAAACGAGACAAACAACCATTCACTCTCTCACTCACACCTAGGGACAATTTAGAGTCACCAATCAGCCTAGCATGCATGTTTTTGGTCTGTGGGAGGAAACCGGAGTACCCGGAGAAAACCTACGCATGCACGGAGAGAACATGCAAACTCCACCCAGAAAGGCCCCTGGACCGGGGTTTGAACCAAGGACCTGCTCGCTGAGAGGCAGCAGCTCTACCAATTGCGCCACCATGCTGCCTGGATAATGATCAATCATAATAATTTTGGTGCACCTCGGCTGAAATCTGTGTATTTTTGAGCTAAACGTATTGCAACGGCGTCATTTCTTAATTCACCACGCTGCCACGCCAACATCGTCAAGCCAAAACGGTTTGTGCTTTAAATCAAGTCAGACCATATTATCTGTCTTCTAACACAGGATCATCCTGATTAGGTCAATGGTGTCAAAGAGGGAGCATTCCAAGTTAAAAAAGAGACTTCCTGTTCCGAGGAGGTGGGGCTTTGATGACGTCAAAATATGACCACAGTGGATCGTCGGGCATCCAACAGGGATGAGTCATGCCAAGTTTTGTGCATTTCGGTTTGAAAGTTATAGTGTTTGGCAATTTATGTCGTGAAGCGAAACTTTGAGGCCTGGCCACGCCCCTTCAACATATACAAAAATGCAAACTTTAGATAACTTTTACTCTCCAATGTCTTAAGGGCATATCAACCAAGTTTGAAGGCAATCCTTCTAGGAGGAGTTTGTTAAAATTTGCAATTAGAAACGCCCCAAAATGACCCTTTGACCCAAAATGGCTGACTTCCTGTTGGTTTTGGACCAGGGCTCCAAGAGACTTTTTCATAGGTCCTGAGAAGATACAGATGTTCACTGAGTTTCAGAATTATTGGTCAAAAAATGGTTTGGGGCTGATGCTTTAAAATATTCTAGGGGGCGCTGTGGAGGCTATTGGCCACTTATCATGGCTTCCTGTTCAAGGGGTGGACAATGATTGATCATACTGATTTTGGTGCACCTCGGTTCAAATCTGTGGAATTTCGAGCCAAACGTATGGCGACGGCGTTACGTCTTACTTCGTCACGTCGCAACGCCCACATGCTCCACCCAAAACTGTCAGTGTTGGAAAGCAAGTTATACCGACATGTCTTCGGTCACTGGACACACTATCATGCTGATCAAGTAACGGGGTCAGATAGAGATTGTTCAACATAAAACTTTATACTTCCTGTTGTCAGGGGGTGTGGCTTAAGTGATGTCATGATTTGACCATTCAGTCTTGCAGGGGACTGGATGTGGATCAATCACTGAAGGTTTGATGTCTCAGACAGTTTTCTTGTAGGAGCTATTAGCGTTTCGTTTTTCATTGCGAGATGTCAAACTTTAATGTCTGGCCCTGCCCCTTCAGCATGCTCCGAAATGAACCGTTTAGATAACTTTGCGTCCCCTATGCCTTTTGACCAAAATGGGCAAGTTTGAAACTGATTGAGCAAAATCCCTAGGAGGAGTTCGTTCAAATGCGGAGGCTGTAAACCGCCAAAAAGGTGTGAAAATTGGTCCGACATTCCAAAATGGCCACCTTCCTGTTTATCGTACAACGTTGGTGCCAAGGGTTTTCTGTGCATCTTGGGGTATTGGACAAGTGTACCAAATTTCACGTTTCTACGACAAACTAAGGTTAATGCGGAAGGAAATTTGAAAATTTCTAGGTGGCGCTAATTTTTCACCAGTCCTGATGCGTCTGCCAAATTTGTTGACCTTTGGGATATATTAAGGCCCCTGTGACCTTTGGGATATATTAATGCCCCCGTGATCTTTGGGATATGTTAAGGCCCAAAACTCTTATTCATTTGGCGGAAAAAGTTGCAGCTCGGGCCTGAACAGAGCGATTACAATAGACCTTCGCAGCGCTTCACTGCTTGGGCCTAAAAAATCTTTCAAAAGGTGTATTTGCCTGTAGCAATTAAATAATGCATACAGTAGTCCCTGGTTTATCACAGGGGGTCCGTACCCTGAAGACCTGCGATAAGTGGAAAAACCGCAAGGTAGGAATAGTAGTACAAGTAGTAGTTTATTTTATTATTTATATACATTTATATATAAAGACATTTTAAACCCTTCCCACTCTTGCAATATTCTAAACAATGTTTCTAAACTCTAAACGCTCTAAAAGAGACAGCATGTCATGATTTCTGCTCTCAGCCACCTGCCAGTGTTCTTGGCCACGCCCACTTCTCTGCTCTGCACGGTGAACAGCTGATCAGCTGCAGCAGGTACTTTATCCTTCAGTGTGGGCTGCACAAAGGTGCAGGAGGTGATAAATAATTTAAAATAATTGATTTTAAATAAAAATCACATGCCAATCATGTGGCTCGTCCATCAATCAGCCAATTAGTGTCACGTCCACTCTTATTTTGAAAAACCGCGATAGAGCAAGTCGGTGATAAACGAACCATGAAGTAGCGAGGGACTATTTTACATTAATATTTACACATATATGTATGTGAATATTTTTCTCCCAGGTATCTCTACCCTGGCACACACCCCCACTCAGGCCAGTAACTACTTGGAGCCCCTGCTCAGCTTCTCTGCTGCTCACGTCCCAAAGAGCAAACACAAAGAGACGCCGCTCTACATCCTGTGTACAGCTGGGATGAGGCTGCTTCCTGATAGGTAGAAAGAGCTGAGCACCACTTTTTATCTCAACAATGTTTTGATGTTGAGTTGGTCTGATCCGTAACAAAAATGACGTCTACACTTTCACTCAATTGTTTTTCTCTTTGAACTTGTATTATTTCTGGGAGCCCTGTGTTTGAACATTTGATGCTGTGTTTGCAGCCAACAGGCGGCCATCTTGGAGGACCTGGTCACTGATGTTCCTCTGGAGTTTGACTTCCTTTTTTCTCGTTCTCACGCTGAGGTCATCTCTGGCAAACAGGAAGGTGATGTTGCATGAAAATCCCAGGAATAAATTTTAAAAATGACTGAGTAATTATTTCTTTCTAAATGTTATCTGCGTTTTCTTCCTCCCCGTGGTCATCGTGATGACATGTTCACGTTGCCTGTCCACCCTGAAGGAGTGTATGCATGGATTGGTATTAACTTTGTCCTGGGCCGCTTTGATCATCCTGACGAGGGTGAGTGTGGAGATGCAGCGTCATTAAGATGGCTTTGAAACAAAAGTAAGGATCAGATTCTGTGTTCAGAAAACTTATTGAATCTGTTTGTATTTCAGAGGATGTCACCGTTGAGGTGACGACCGGCTCAGAGAACCAGCCTCTGATCAGTCGGCGGCGCACAGTGGGCATCATGGATATGGGCGGAGCCTCCCTACAGATTGCCTATGAGGTGCCCAGTGCCATCACCTTCACCTCGCCACAGGAAGTAAGGTTACCATTTGAGACGAGCTCAGGCTGTGGGTCGATCCAGACGGCCATGTGCAGCAGTAGATTTCAGCGTGGTTGTGTTTTTCAGGAGGAGGCCGGGAAAAGTCTTCTCGCAGAGTTTAACCTCGGCTGCGACGTCGAGCAAACCCAACATGTGTACCGCGTCTATGTCACCACGTTCCTGGGCTTTGGAGGAAACATGGCCAGACAGCGCTACGAGGACCAGCTGGTCAACAGCACACTGACCAAAAACAGGTGAACCCCCCCCCCCCCCCCACACACACACACACACACACACACAGATAAATAGTACAAACCGGATTCCAAAAAAGTTGGGACACTAACAATTTGTGAATAAAAACTGAATGCAATGATGTGGAGATGGCAAATGTCAATATTTTATTCGTAATATAACATAGATGACAGATCAAAAGTTTAATC